ACGAAACATTTTGCATAAACATGAATTATCAGGTAGATTAGCGAAATGGGCTATAGAATTAAGTGAGTACGACATCACTTATCAACCTAGGACTGCTATAAAATCTCAGGTATTAGCTGATTTCGTAGCTGATTTCAGTCAGGGGATGCAATTAGAAGCTGAAAAAGAATTACAAGTTTTTAATGGTGCAAACCCGAGAACTTGGGTTTTATTCAATGACGGTTCATCTAACGTAAAAGGCGCAGGTTTAGGAATAGTTCTCGTACCACCCACGGGTGAAACTATTAGACAAGCTATAAAGTGTCATTCGATAACTAACAATGAAGCAGAGTATGAAGCTGTCATTGCAGGTTTGGAATTGGCTCGGGAACTTGGCATAACCCAGATTATAATCAAGAGTGATTCACAACTTGTTGTTAACCAGATGCTGGGGACTTACGCGGCCAGGGAAGCACGAATGCAAGAATACTTAGGAAAAGTACGTGAATTAATAAAGCAGTTTCAGACGTGGAAAGTTATGCAGATACCAAGAGATGAAAATTTAGAGGCAGATGCTTTAGCCAATCTCGCATCTGCAGCAGACGTGGCAAAAGATGCAAATGCTTCAGTTGTACATTTATTCCATTCCATTCTCGAGCCTGATAAGAATGAGGTAAATTTTAATAATCTAACCTGGGATTGGAGAAACGAGATTGTTGCTTTTCTGCAGTATGGAACCGTACCTAATGACAAAAGGAAGGCACACGCGCTTCGTAAAAAGGCTGCTCGTTACTGTTTATATCAAGGAAACCTTTATCGAAAGATGTTCGGTGGACCATTAGCAAGGTGTCTTGGACCTTCCCAAACAGAATATGTAATGAGAGAAATACATGAAGGACATTGTGGAAATCATGCGGGAGGAAGGTCGCTGGTAAAAATATTGATTCGAGCTGGGTATTATTGGCCTAAGATGGAAGAGGAAGCAAACAGTTTTGTGTCTAAATGTGATAAATGTCAAAGGTACGGGAATAATATGCATAGACCAGCTGAGTTACTGCATCCCGTCATAGCTCCGTGGCCCTTTATGAAATGGGGGATGGATATCGTAGGTCCATTACCACAAGCAAAAGGTCAGGTGAAGTTTCTACTTGTACTTACTGATTATTTCACTAAATGGGTAGAAGCGGGAGCATTTAAACAGGTACGAGAAAAGGAGGTCAAAGACTTCATTTGGCGTAATATCATATGTCGATTTGGTGTGCCAAAGGAGATTGTTTGCGACAATGGCCCTCAATTTATCGGAGCTCAAGTCACTGAGTTTTTTGAGAGCTGGCAAATTAAAAGAATCACATCTACACCTTATCACCCAGTAGGCAATGGGCAAGCAGAATCAACGAACAAGGTCATTATTAACAACTTGAAGAAAGGTTACAAGATTCAAAAAGTAATTGGCCTGAGGTATTACCTGGAGTATTATGGGCTTATCGTACAACGACAAAAACAAGCACGGGAGAAACACCATTTTCAATGGTTTATGGTGCAGAAGCCTTAATCCCAGTTGAAATAGGAGAACCGAGCACACGATATGCTCAGGCAACGGAAGAATCAAATGGTGAAGAAATGCGGGTAAACCTTGATTTGCTCGAAGGAAGAAGAGAAGCCGCATTAATTGATGGCAGCACAAAAGCAAGTGATCGAACGATATAACAACAGGAAAGCACGATTGCGATACTTCAAAACTGGGGACTTCGTGCTTAAAAGGGTTTTTCAATCTACAAAGGCAACCAACGCGGGTAAACTAAGTCCAACCTGGGAGGGACCCTACAGAGTTCGGGACATTGCAGGAAAAGGAGCATACGAATTAGAAACAATGGACGGGAAGGTGCTTCCCTCACATTAGAATGCAGTTCATTTGAAGAGATACTACTTCTAAGGAAAAATCCACAGTCAGGTATCACCACGTTAAATTATTTATTTTTTGAATTGTTAAAATTTTACTAACAATTTTAGATGATAGGCAAAATGCTAACCCGTACTAAATGATGAGTCACGACCTGTAAGGCAAAAGGAAATAAACTAAAATTCCTAGCCCAGGGTTACAATTATTCTGATAGAAGTATACACGGGTTAAGCAGTCTTCATCTATAATCGCACCCTCGAGTCCTGTATGTATTTCCTTTTCAGGAAAAGGACCAGGTGAAGAAGATTACCAAGTGCTCGAGGCTTCATACTTCACCGCTCAAACACTTGGGGGACTACATATTGTACACAGATACGTGCGGGAAAACAGATATGTAGATGAAAGTTGAAAAACAAAGAGACAAGTGTCGAGCAGGAGCTACGAAACCTCAACATTTATCATTGTGTTCTTTCCCATCAAAACAAATGAGGATATAAAACATTCATCATAGTGCTCGAACTCATGGGAACAATGGAGTCACCTCTCAAACCCTTCCTAGTACATGAAGATAGGGTCATGACGATATACTGAAACGGGTTATAAGAAAAAACCTTGTTGGAATAATATTTATTTTGCAAAAATCTGTTACAAGAAAAACAGTTACGAGAAAGTTATAGATGTATTTTAATACATGTAATATTCAAAAGCTTGACAAAGTTCGTGAATAAAAACTTGTCAAAGTGGTTTCAAGCGAAACATGTGTGTTCCTATTTCTTTCATCGTATTGTAACACCATTATGAAGTTGAGACGTCTTCTTCATTAAGTGTCGATATATATAAAAGGGCCCTCTTTTATAAGCCTCATGTTAATAAGTCATGAGAAGGATCATAAAGCATTTTCAAAGTTTAAAAAAATGCAAAACTATTCTATAAGTCCTAAATAGATAAGAAAAAGGCAAGAATAGAATATTTTGAAGTACTAATAAACTTCTTTATATAGTTAAAAAGACTAAGTAAAAACTTAGTCAACAAGTGCCCCATTATGATAACTGGGGACTTTTTCCACCAATCAACAAAGCAAATAAAAATAAAGTTTTAAAACATAAACTGGTCACTGAGGGGCTGGAGCATCAGAAGTTGTGATATCAGTTTCACTTTCAGGAACGGTAACTTCTGAAGAAACAGCAACAGAAGCGGTTTCAGCTGGGATTGAAATGGTAGATTCTTCGAGGGGAGCAAGAGCCACGGAAGCGTCAGCTTCCTCAAACCGATTCATAGAAGTTTCACCCTCGGGAGCTGGAATAGCAACATTTTCAACTTCAATTGTCACAGCAGCAGCTTCTTCATTTAAAGGTTCTTCAGTCACGGGAGCTTCATCTGCCGGAGAAGGAAAGTCAAGTGGTTGTTGGGTCATCTTAATGGTTTTCAAAACCTTGGCCAATTCCGATTCTAAATCAAAGTTTTCTTGTCTGGCCTCAGTTAAAGCATCACGACGAGAGTTTAGAAAAGCCCAACTCACTTCTATATTAAAATTCTCCTCAAGAAGCTCATAATCCCTTTCCCACATAGCAAGATCATTCTTTAACACTTGATTTTCAGCTAAAGTGGAATCAAGGGTGGCTTCAAGAGAGGCATGAGAACTCTCCAATGCATGAACCTTATCAGAGGAGATCTTCAAATCAGCTTGAGCTTGAGTCAAGTTTTGTACTAACTCTCCTGCATATTCTTCTTTCTTGTTCAAGAGTGCTTTAAGTTCTCTGATTTCTTCACTTGACTTTGATAATTGCTTTGAAAAGGAACACTCGAGGCGCTCCTTGTCCTTCTCGGCTTTACTAGAAGAAGCCTTGGCCTTCGCTAAATCCGAAGTCAGAGTCCGCTTTTGCTGCTCCAGGTTACGGTTGCTTTCTTGCAATTCTTTTATCGTGTCTTGAGCATTTTTAAATTGTTCCTTCCAATTAGTTGCCTCCAGCTGGGCTTCCTTAGCTACCCTCTCAGCCTCGAGAATAGTCTTATCAGATTCACGAGCCTTGTTTTCTAAAAGGGAAATTCTTCCCATCAACTCCGTGCCAATAAGGTTGGCCTATAAAGACAACTCATGAAGATAAGAATCTAGAAATAATAAAAAAAAACTTATTAAAAAGTAGAGGGAGAATACCTTCAACGTAGAATGAACTATGTCATTCATCAAAGTTAAGCAACTGTGACTGTCCATCTTTTTCTTCTCAATATCTCCAATTAAAGGCTTAAGCCAGACATCTGCTCCACCAGACTTCCTTAAAAGACTGTTAGTAGCAGGAACCTCAAGTGTTACACTCCTCATAGCTAAACTTCTGCTACTAAAACCCTCCTCTGCATGCTGAACAGAGAAAAGGGGAGCTATAGAAGGAGGAACGGTAGAAGAGGTGAAAATAACAGGAGTCGAGGGAGTCGAAGCAGGTAAAGGAGCAGAAATTGGCAAAGAAGCAGGAACAGATAAAATGGGCAAAGATGTACTTGAAACTAAAGAAGGAATAGAAGGAATAGGAATGGAAGAGGAAAGAGGAACCTCATCTAAAACCGGACCTAGATCACCACTTTCGAAACCCTTAGTGAAGAGACGTTGAGTGGATTCAATGGTGTCCCTGGGGATGGTTTCATCATCGGAAACAATATTAACCGGAGAGGAGGCACGGGTAGGAGAAATTTCAGCTTCATCTTCAGAAATGATACGTCTCCTGACTCTAGGTCTAACTGCCAAAGAGGTGTCTTCATCTTCATCATCCTCGGAATCCTCTTCAACAACTTTCCTCTTTGACAGCGTAGCTTGTGCTATCTCCAAAGAAAGAGGAGTACCAAAAGAAGCTCGAAGGGCAATAGCTACTTCAGCTGACATTCCTCGAATAGCAAATCCTGACAGAAAGAAGGATAAAAAGTTAGAAGAGGGGAAAGAATTTAACATACGGGAAACAATAAGAGACGCATACCGTGAGTTTTTACTTTCCAACCATGTTTGTTAGAAATAGATTTCCAGGTTCGTGCCTCCATAGGCACGGCCTTCAAAATAGCATCTACCCAACCACGAAAATTAGGAACGGGTTCCACATCTCCCATGGTTGCTACAAAAAAGCAAAAAAGAATGAAATGAGAAAAGGAGTTGAAATAAAACAAACACGGCAAGAAAGAAATACTTACGTGCAAGGTTCCATTTCTCAGGGAAAGGAATATTTGATTCACCCACCAAATCAACCGTGGGTACCGCAACATAACGGGTGTACCAGCCTCGAATAAGGAGTGAAAGAGTGATGGAACCAGAGGTACCACCACGAATGGATCCAAGGCCACGAAGCCTACCCCCTCTACCCCTTCTATGTCTCACAGGGGCATTGGGGAAACTGTCAAGAATTGGGACTCTTCTAGGGTTGGGATTTGAAGATGACATGGTAGAAAGGCTTGAACAGAGGAAGAAGTGAATAGAAGTAAATAGTGAAATATTAGGTAAAAATTTGTGGAAGGAGGATTAAGTTTATATAAAAGCAACCGTCAAAGATTAAGAAGTGTAATGATGGAAAGCCTATAATAAAGGCAACTATCACTTCGTGAATAGTGGAGTTGAAGAAGCCTTGAAAAAAGGCTGTAGAATTACAGAGCTAATGAGAAGGAGACACGTGTGCGATGCATTAAATAGAAAAGACAACTGAAGCGTTAGTACTGTCATAGCATTAATTATGGCAAAAATTCCCTTTTTAATGAAGATCCACTTCCCAAATATTTAATTGATAAACAAATGGAAAGTGGGGGGACTATCTGTATTGGGAAAAAACTGAATTTAAATATTGAAGATGACATGTCATGACACGTGGACCGGTCAAATAGTCAAAGCATGACAAACAGTTAGAAGACACGAGCAACAATAGATGCGGGAGAGAAGATACTTAAAGGTACGAGCTAGTATCCAGATGAAACGAGACTCGTACCTGTTCGAGCCATTTAAAGCTCGAAGATCAGAAGGAATTGAAGATATGAATCTGATAGCGTAAAAGAGTCCAAATTCAACATTAAATGCCAAATACGTTAGAGAATTTGTATTTAAAAAGAATGATTGAATAACGTTTCTTTTAATGTCATTTACTGCTCGTAATTGCCTCATTAAGACAAAGGTATTACACTTTCTCTTAGAATTGACTATAAAAGGAGAAAGTCACAACATCTGTAGGGCACGAAATATCATTCCGATTATACTGAAATATACTCTTGTTCATTGCTTTATTGTTGTTCACAAAATCTCTTATTTCTTGATTATCAGTAACCCGATTTCTCTATTAAATTCTAGCTTTAACCAAATATTCAGTTTTTTGGTTAAACAGTAACTATATATATTACATATATATAAGCCATATTCGATATAATAATACCTAATACGCTTATACTTAGCGCATAGTACAGCGTAACTATATATATTACATATATATAAGCCATATTCGATATAATAATACCTAATACGCTTATACTTAGCGCATAGTACAGCGTAACTATATATATTACATATATATAAGCCATATTCGATATAATATTACCTAATACGCATAGTACAGCGTAACTATATATATTACATATATATAAGCCATATTCGATATAATATTACCTAATACGCTTATACTTAGTGCATAGCATGTTAGAGTATATTTTAGTCTATTCATCCCTTGTGTTACAAAAGTGTTAACGGCTTACATTTATATTATTAGATAGTAAATACAAAAGTGATTTTTAATTTTGACCATTGTTGACCTGAAAAGAGACCAACTTTGGTCGCTAATTATACTTAAATTTAAATTAGCGACCAAAGCTGGTCGCTAAATTTAAATCAGATTTATTTATATTTTATATAATATTTAAAATAATAATATAATTGTTAAACGGGTCCCATATTAGCGACCAAAGTTGGTCTCTATTTTATAAGCGACCAACTTTGGTCGCTAACTTTGAATTATATTTATTTATATTTTATAATTTTTTTTAAATAATAATATAATTATTAAAATTTAATAAGTGGGTCCCACAATAGCGACCAACGTTGGTCGCTAATCTCAGTATTTCTTTGACCAAGCAAGTCTGACCAGTCCGGTCAACATTTTGACGAAATTATTAACCAAATAGCGACCAACTTTGGTCGCTAATGTATTTAAAATAATTATTTTATTATTTTCTCGAATTTAGAGACCAACGTTGGTCGCTTTTCTTGACAGACCAACTTTGGTCGCTAAAGTTTGGTCGCTTTTTTCCGGAATTCTAGTAGTGAAATACCACTTTAAAAAGTGGCTACCCCACATAATTTTTACACGTATCACCTTATTAGTTTTCTCATATTTAATGGCCTGCCTGCATACTATTATGTTATAGGGATGAGGAAACAAATTACTTACTAGATTATTTACACTGTTATAGGAGGGAAGATTAGCTTGAGTTCAAGCAGTTGTAAATAAAAGTTCAATTAGTAGAAACTGCGAACAGAACTATCTAAAAAAAAGGAACCAAGATAAAATACTTGGTATGTATAAGTGATGTGTCTCATGAGAAATGGGAATGATAATTCTTGTATGTAACAGATAACAAATGTATTCTTCTTTTTTCACAATTAGAGCTTTAATTAAAAAATTGAAAAGTCATCACTCAACTAAGAAAGAATACAACATATAACAATTCGTCTACAACGGAATCCAAACACATACATTTAATTTGTTTCAGAACCAAAGTCAAACGGTCGATTACTACGTCTTGTGATATATATATATATATATATATACTAGATGAGGAAAGGCCCGTATACGGGCCCAACATTGCAATTTTATTAAAATTATTATTTGTTGGGGTTTAATTAATTAACTTTTGAGGTTTAACAAGCTATATATTTTAAAGTTACTTTTGAATATAAAAATATTTAGTTTGAAATCGTCTTCAAATAATATGGTAGATGAAAATTATTTAATTTTTATTTTCAAATTGCTTTAAGATAGTATGGGTAAATATGAAAATCTCGTAAATATCGATACTTCTTTTTGTTGTTGTATTATTTAAAATTTTCTCTATGGAAACTTCTATTTAAATAAAACAAAAATTAATAATTTTCCAAAATGAGAAAAAGATTGGAAATGAGCATTTGTACTACACAAATAGTGTAATCAACACATGCATAGTGCATTTAAAGGAGAGTTGTGGCTAGAGGAACGTGGGGTCCAATTGTATTTTGCATTTAAGAAATACAAACATGAAATTTTTATGAAATGACATATATGACCTTGGTCAACCATCTTTCCTTTTCTATATAAAATAAAATAAAAATATAAGCCGGCAAAGCCCTGTGCTTCACAATGACATCAGTTTTTTATTGTTTAAGGAAATGGTCCTAATTCCAAGGTTATTGGGTTGTATGACTAATTGCTAAATATGTCACTAGCACTCTATTTTAAGTAAGATTTTCGTATCATTTTGTTTCATTGATATCAACGTATATAGTAATACTTTAAACCCAATATATTTATAAAATAATTAATGGGTGTTGTTTCCTGGCAAATTTTAACTTTGTCTTACTTATATCGTATGCATTTTGTAGCTTTCGAAATCTTCCATGCAACATGATCATATCATACGTAAAGACGACGAGGCTGACATACATGACAAGACTCATTATATTACATAATATTAAAAAATACATTAATCAACTAAATAATGATATTTTACACTATATTTGGTCCGAAAAATTATCAATTGTATTGGCAAATTGAATTGGTTTTAAAATATTTGATGTTTTAGACAAATAAGAAGGCTTTATATATTGATTATTGTTCCTAATTAATTAACACACTTTCTGTTATATTTGGCGGAGTAATAATTAAGTAAGACGTTTAAAGAAGAGATAGAAGGATATATAGTTTAAACACATACTCTAACGATTAAAAGCTAGTACTAAGGTATGCAAGAATATTAAAAAACAGATAATATGAAAAAGAAAAAAGAAAAAAGGGAGTATAACATTAACTTGTCTCCTCTTCAGAATACTACAATATTGGTCGATAAAATTGATGCTGCACCTTCCAACATCCAACAATATATATATATATATATATATATATATATATATATATATATATATATATATATATATATATATATATATATATATATGGACAAGACACACATTTTCAAATTAAAACAAAATTAGCATAACTTGGAATATAAAACTGTTTTGCTTTAGTTATAGGCTATTAGTATATTTTAGATGCAAAGTGAAAGCAACATTTGGAATTATGAGGATACGCATAGAAACCTTCAATGTATATATATAAAAGCTGGCACAAATTATATATATCGTAGACTTGGAAATATATATATGTAGCACAAACTAAAATCTGATATCTTGTTAATTTGTGTATCAAGATGAGTGAAGAATTAGAGAAAGGAGCTACTAATGGGAGTAAGGATTATACACAAGATGGGACTGTGGACCTCAAAGGCAAACCTCTTCTCAGATCCAAAACTGGCAGATGGAGAGCTTGTTATTTCATTGTTGGTATGTTTTATATACTCTCTCCATATATCGATATATATAACATCTTCTTTACATATATATATAGAGAGTGAGAGCAGAAGTTATAATTTAAGTTTAAAGAGAAATGAAGAAATAAAACAAAAACGTGCTTGCTTTTGGCAGACCTTACTATTAAATTTCTACAATAATATGTTGAATTACAATATATATATATATATATATATATAGAAGTTCTTTACACTTAGCTTTCAGTGTATATAGTTAAATTCTTAGAAATTTATCCATCCACTTGCTACTTTATGCATGGTTATGATTTTTGTTTTTGATTTCTGAGACATTATGGTTCTTATGCACTAATTTCAACACAAGTGTTTACCTCGAAAATACGAGTAACAATTAAACTTGTTTGTGGTTTTAAAGATACGTGATTTAGTTCAATACTAATTAATAACTAAGAAATCAAACGTATAAACCAGAGAAGAAAGTTGAATCAAACCAATGCTTAAGCAAGTCTTGACCTCGAGCTAGATGGCCTCAAGTAGGTCAGCAAGAATAGTAAAGCAAAGACAATAAAGTTAAGAGACAATTCTGATGAATAATGAGCAAGAAAGTAAGAGAGTATATTCTTTTGCCAATGATTGATGATGGGTTACAAATGATTGGGGTCCCCTTTATATAGTAGGGGAATCCTAAAATAAGGTACATTTCATTTATAGTAAGGAATCTTACTGGGACAGCTATCTAACCGCCTAGTACGGATTCGTACTAACTCGTACAAATATATTCCGAAATTTACGCCATGATCTTGGGGATGTGAAGGGAATCTTGCTCTTTTCTGTTACAAGCCCATAACGGCATTATCTCGGGGCTGGTCATACTCGACTTCGGTGCTCATTGCGTACTTCGATCTTCGAGCCTTGTACTCTGTCATCGGGCTCGATCTTGATCCATCGGGCTTGAACTAGGTCTATCCTGAACTCGGGCTTGAAGCGAATCTTCGAGCCCGTGAAATCGGGCATACCTTATTTCGACCGTATACAGATAGTCCCCGCGTTTCTTAGAGTAAGACGATAAGAAACGATTTGATCCTCGATCCTCCGATGCCTCGATCATGATGTCAATCTCGTGACGTCAGCGACTGAAGTGATTGAAAGTTCGCGTCTGCATAGTTCGCAAGGCCATTAATTGAAGGCGGCTGATGGTCGGCCATTGGTTTCCCCAAACCGTTAAAGCGACCACTATAAATAGGTCAATTTTACAACTTTTACAATCTTTACTTCTCAAATCTTTCTCAAAACCTCACTAGCTTCTTCATCTTTCCCGAGTTCATCCTTTCTTACTCTCGCTACAGCATCAATTTTTTCTCTTCTTTTGAATTTCTCAGCAGCAATGGCCAAAACATCTAAAACCGTTCCTCAGAAAGAAAAAGCCTCCTAGTCATCACGTCCGACCGGGAGTAGAACGACAGTGCCACCTCGTATCGAGGAGTGCATTCCCGAGCCATGCGAGCTTCTTCCGATTTTAAAATCTATAAGCCGGCGTCAGTTCCAGGCCGATGCGAGCCCTATGTCTCGATACATCTGCTTGATAACTGAAGATGAACTTGAGTAGGTGATAGAGGATTGTAATTGGGAGGATAAAGACGTCATGATTCCTTCCCCTGAAGAGGACATCACCACTTATGTGAAAGGGTACTTAAGCATGTATACTTATCCTTTCACATTGGGTCCCGTAGATCCAGCATTGGGTCCCATAGATCCAATCATTCTCGATTTCTATCATCAATACCGGGTGAGCCTTGGCCAGGTCTACCCTTCTTTCTGGCGCATCGTCAATTTGCCCAGGTATTTTTTGTGCAAGGTCGAGGGGATGCCTTTTACCCTCGACTATTTCATCAAGCTATACAGCCCTCTCCTTTATCGAGGCGGTCTGATAAAGCTCCAGCATCGATCCACGAAGTCGCTATTCTCTAGCATCGATGAGGACAAGGACCGAGGGTGGATGAGCCGGTTTGTCCGAATCAAGACTTCCGATTTAATTCCTGCTGAAAGGATACCATTCCCCGAGGAATGGAACATGAATCGTAAGCAAAAACCTATCGGCGAAGATTATTGCTCTGCATTCCTTATTCTTCCTCGATCTAATTCTCTTTCGATGATGCAGTTGTCCCTTGGTTTCCTGGTGCGATTCCGGACCTCGCAGGTTGGGTTCGACAATTGGCTTCCACTTCTTCACATGCAAAACGATGTTGGCGTGATTTGGCCAAGGGTCGGTGGGAGGCTAAAAACCATGGTAAGCTCACTTGTTTATATATTGGTATTTCTCTTGTAAAATACTTACTTTCTCCTTACACAGGCCTCGGAGATAATGTTGCTATGAGGCCGCCCCTTCCCAGTGAGGAGGAAATCCCAAAACCTACCAAAGAGAAGAAAAGGAAAAGAGCTTCGCCACCAAGCTCCCCGAAGCCCAAGAAAAATAGGGCTCGAAAGCCTAGGGCCGATCCCGCGGCCCTATCTGCAGAAGCGGTCCAACACCTTTGGGATGACGAGAAAGAGGGAGAAGATGACGACTGCCTGTTGGTAGCTCGGAATAAGGGGAGCACTGAAGCTTTGAAGGCCGCTGAACCAGTGATGGCTGATGCGGTTCAATCTCGAACCGAAGAAATCTCGGAGGGGAGCTCGAGCAGAGTCCCCGAGCCATCGGGCGGCAAAAAAGCACCTCGTCTTGGAGGGCATTCGGCGGACGAGCCCGAGGGGCCTAATTTCTATGCCCTTCAAAGAGAAGATAATGTTCCAAGTGAATCACTTGGGATAATTAATGTAGATGAATCACCGCCTGGTCCTGTGTTCTCTGAAGGGCAATTCCGAGATGCCCAGGCCATGAAGACTCCCGACGTGGGGACGACCCATGAAGGGAATGATATTTTTCGGGAATGTCTTGTGGGGGTCGAAGATGGTCCCGACCCTGACGCTTCGTTTATCTTCGATGAGGTTCAGCGGCTTCTAAAACAAGTAAGTTTCTGCCTCCATAATTTTTCTCGAGTTTTATTCTCGTTTTTCTAAATCTGACTCCTTTTCTTTGTGCGAAGGCCGTGACGCTTCATTGAAAAGCATTTTCTAAATCTCGAGCCGAGCTTGCCCGATGCGAGGCCGAACTCAAGAAACTTGTGGAAGAGAGGGACGGACTTAAACGCCTCTATGAACAGAAAGAGGAGAAGGTCAGAGATCTCCGAGTTGAACTAACGAAGGCTCGTCAAGAACAGACTGAGCTCATTGAGCAAGTAATGTACCCTTTGGGAGTTTGTTATGTGCTCATTTAATTTAGCGATTAACATTTCAACTCTGCAGGCTCAGCAGAAGGGCGAGCTGGTGGAGCAGCTTCGAGAAGAGCTCAAGGTGAAAGAGGCCGAGACCTTGGGGTGGAAGCAACATATGGATTGTCTCGCCTCGAAAAAAGATACGCTTCGGGCCCAGCTGCTTTCGATCGAACGCCAGCTTCAAAATGTAAAGGGGGAAAGCTTGGCCTGGAGCCGAAAGATTGAGGAGCTCGAAGCTAAATCGGCCGCCGAGCTTGCGAAGGCCAAATCTGAGGCAGAGGCGTTTGTGGCCTCTTATCGAGCTAACGCCGAGGCTGCTAATGTTCGGGTATAGGAAATCTCCACTGCTACTGAGGTCAAATTGTCATATGCTCTCGATCACGCCAGGCGACAATCTCGAAGGGAAACTCTCGAGGAAGTGCACGCCCGAGGCTTTGACCTCTCAGCTGATATTGAAAAGGCAAAAACTTTGGAAGACGAAGTTGCCGCTTTACTCTCTGATGATGAAGATTCTGCTAGTGGTTCCAAGAGTGGAAGAGATGAGGAAGAAGTCCTCGAGGAGGAAGTTCCCGAAGATGTCGCTCCCGAGGATACAGCTCCCGAGGATGTGGCTCCCAAAGTAGACTAGGCTCTTAGGATTTTTTTTTTTTGTTTTGTGTAAGGCCCTTTGTGGGCACTGTAAATACCCTTTATGAATATAAGGAATTCCTTTTCTTTTCGCTCCATCTCCGATTTCTTTCGAATTCTGTTTTTTCTTTATTTTGTGAAAATTTTTGATGTTATAACTTCAATGATCGAGTGAGCTCTGGCTCGAACTCAGAGTAGAATAAACCCTTAGGTTTTCTAGTAATCAATGGGTGATCTTTGAACTTATAATGGAATACCTTTTAAGATTTTTTTATGAATCCTCGAGCTGAGCTTAAGTTGATTTGATGCGAGCTCGGGACCCTTAGGTCCGAGTCGAGTGAGAACAAGGTCTCAAACCCTAAATGTATCAGCCCTTAGGATCCTTTAGATCGGGTCATTATGGCCTCTAAGAGATGGCTATTATTTCCCCTTTTCGGCTTAGAAGACTTAGTAAAATTTATTTATGCCTTGGCATGCATTTTTTAGCCATTGGGTTTTCTAAGGGTTTGATATCGATCGGAACCCTTTGTTTTTAGTGCCTTGGCACAAGTTTGTTTTGGATAATTTGATACCTCTTAAGGTTTCTTTAGGGCTGATTTTATCGAAGCCCTTTGATTATTTTGCCGAGGGCAGCCTTTATTTCACCGGTTTTTTGAGAATTTGAAGGCCTGTTTTTAATTGCGGAATTCGGACGTCTCCGAGCCGCGTTATTTCGGTCGTAGCCTTTAATATGGCCGTAGCCTTCGGGTATGTCTTTTGGACTTATTTCCCGATAACATTTCGAACTTGTTCGAAACGTCAGTCCCCAAGTTTGATGGCCTTGGCCTTTACGTCGAGGGATGCCTCTTTGAGGTCTTACGAATTCGAGTTTAGATGTGTTGACTGTTGATGACGGTCCCCGAGTATTCGATATGTATTTGCGTTTTGGCCCTTGAGTCGTTTCTCACAGAATCACAAGTATGGAGTTCGTATACTAGCAAATTTCTTTGAGACACAAAGTGTTTGATATAGAAAGAATGCTTCTTTGAATAATTCATGCATGCGTACATGTTTTGCCGTTGGGGCTCGACTATTCTAT